AATATGATCCTTTAAAAATGTTTTTTAGCTATTTAAACTGTAAAAACTCTTCTTCCCTCGCAGGCCATACAAAGCTGGGTGGGGGGTGGGGTGGGGTGGGGTGGGGCGGTGGTGCTGTGGCATAGTGGGCTAAGCCTCTGCCTGTGGTGCCAGAGTTCCATATGGGCGCTGGTTCAAGTCCTGGCTGCTCCACTTCTGATCCAGCTCTCTGCTATGGCCTGGGAAAGCAGCGGAAGATGGCCCAAGTCCTTGGGCCCCTGCACAGGAGACCTGGAAGAAGCTCCTGGCTCCTCCTTTGGATCGGCAGCCGTATGGGGAGTGAACCAGCAGAGGGAAGACCTTTTCTGTCTGTCCCTCTGTCTGTAACTCTGCCTCTCTAATAAATAAAATCTTAAAAAATAAAAACTAGGGCCGGCACCGTGGCTCACTAGGCTAATCCTCCGCCTTGCGGCACCGGCACACTGGGTTTTAGTCCCAGTCGGGGCACCAGATTCTGTCCCGGTTGCCCCTCTTCCCGGCCAGCTCTCTGCTGTGGCCCGCGAGTGCAGTGGAGGATGGCCCAAGTGCTTGGGCCCTGCACCCCATGGGAGACCAGGAGAAGCACCTGGCTCCTGCCATTGGATCGGCGCGGTGCACCAGTTGCAGCACACCGGCCATGGCGGCCATTGGAGGGTGAACCAACGGCAAAGGAAGACCTTTCTCTCTGTCTCTCTCTCTCACTGTCCACTCTGCCTGTCAAAAAAAAAAAAAAAAAAAAAAAAAAAAAAAAAAAACTAGGCAGAGGGATGGTTATGGCCCGTGGATGCCAGTTTCTCAGCCCTGCTTATGTCCTACAGACATTGTGTGGATTAAATAAGTTAATACCTGCACAAAACACCTGGCCGTTCTTACTCTTTGGGTATACTACGCTGCGAGGGTGTCTGTCCATGTTGCATAAGTCTGGTTGATGGAGGGGTCGACCAAAGTGAGGAACTGTCACAGTGCTGGGAACAGAAGGAAAGCCTGTCATCTGCCACCATCCGGGGACACCAGGTCGCTCTCTCCCCTGGGGGGAATTCTCCGCCTCCCAGGAGCAGAGCAGCGGCAAGCCCAGCTACTGGGCAGTCCCGCCTCTGCGGTCTCCAGTCTAGCCTGTGTCACAACCCTGTGATTGGTCCAGCCGAACGGGAGCCACTCACAACTCTTCCCCCTTCCCACCCTGTCTGGTTGCTGCCTCCGTCCGCACTGTCCGAACCATCTCTGCCAGCAGGAGCTGCTTGCAAGGCTAACAGCAGAATTTATTAGCGGCTCTTGCCTCTTGGGGATGCCTCAGATTCACGCCTTTCCCTTGTGGTGTTAATCTTCGTCAATTAGATTACCTGTGCTTTGGGGGACTTCTACAAAGTCCTCTAAAATCAAAGGATGAATGGCTTCCATCTGCTTTGCTGCCAAGCGTGGGACTCATCTCCTCATCCCGGGACTGCTCTGGCATGCTGAAAAAAGCCGATTCTCGTGCAGTGTTCCCTCGCCATCAGTGTGTGTGATGGGCCAATCTAGTAGCTTGTGGCTCAAAATTCTCTGTGTTAGCACTGGTCGATTTATGCATGAAAGCAAAGAGGTCCCACTGTCAACAGGAGACACCTGTGTTGTGTTGTTTTTGGTGTTGGCAGAATCATTTGCAGCCCAGTAGCTCATGCTCAAAGCTTGTCCCGTGTGAGACAGCTAAGTGTCCCAGAGACTCTGGACTTCTTTGTTAGTGACAGGACAGCACACGTCACGTAAAGATCAAACTTCTCATCACGAAAAAGAAAAGCCATATTCATGGTCACACTGGTTTGGAGACACAGAAACATCACAGAGCTACTGAAAATACCCCCTGGGTTTCATGATTGACATGTGGTCTTATAGCAATGGCTCCGTCCTCGGGGCCAGGAAAGGGAATAAATAAGAATCAAAAAGTATGGCGCAACAAACTCTTTTCATTCCTGGCGTTATCAGTGGAGCATCAGCATGAAAGTTCAGATAAAGAATTTCACACACGGGGCTGGTGCTGTGGTGTAGCGGGTAAAGCCGCTGTCTGCAGTGCCGGCATCCCATATGGGCGCTGGTTGGAGTCCCTGCTGCTCCACTTCCGATCCAGCTCTCTGCTGTGGCCTGGGAAAGCAGTAGAAGATGGCCCAAGTCCTTGGACCCTTGCACCCACGTGGGAGACCTGGAAGAAGCTCCTGGCTCCTGGCTTTGGATCAGTGCAGCTCCAGCTGCTGCGGCCAACTGGGGAGTGAACCATCAGGTGGAAGACCTCTCTCTCTCTCTCTGCCTCTCCTTCTCTGTGTAACTCTTTCAAATAAATAAATCTTTAAAAAAAATTTTCACACACACACACGTACACCCCATTAAGAACATGGTAAGACACAGCCAGGCTGGCGAGGACAGCCTGCGCTTGACAGGAGAATGAGCCCAGAAGAGGGACTGACCAAGGTCACCGAAGTCAGTGGGAGAAGTCTTGCCTGGTTCTCACTCCCAAGGTGCATCCTGCTGTTTCCGGGACTCATATCCGGTTGGTGTCTGGCCTTGTTATTTCAGAGTCTGAGGTTGACAGAACTGGTGCAACAGCCTGGGCAGGTCCTGGCTGGCCTCATGAGGCAAGATGGCCACGCTGGCCGGCAGGCCGCTGGACCTGGGGTTTAAGGCTGTGTTCAAGGTGGCTGTACGCCAGGCTGACCCCGTTGCTGGCACAGGAAACTGAGCTCTTCCAAGAGCTGGGGCTTGGACCACTTGGTTTTCTTGCTTCCCGACTCCTCCAAGCCTCCCAAATGGCTGTCTCCTTGCACCTCTAGGCTTTGCAATTCAAGAGTCAACAAAACACTGCCTCGTGGGCCCCCAGTTGTCCTGAGTGGAAATGGCAGTTGGGTTTTACCACAGGGCTTTGCTACTAGCTGCGTTGAGGATTCTGCGTCTGGATGCAGCTGAAGAAGAGCCCTGTGGTTGACGTGTGCTGTCTGGCACAGCTGCAGGGGGGACGGGAACAACTGCAGCCAGGCGAGGTCCAAAGCAGCTGCACAAGTGGGCCAGTTCCAGCCTGGACCTCCCTTCGACACATTCATCCCTGCTGTGGCACAGTGGGTCAAGCCTCCCCGTGCAGCGCCAGCATCCCATATGGACGCCGGTTCGAGTCCTGGCTGCTTCACTTCTGGTCCAGCTCCCTGCTAAAGGCCTGGGAAAGCAGTGGAAGATGGCCCAAGTACTAGGGCCCTGCACCCACCTGGGAGACCCAGCAGAACTGGCTTCGAATCAGCCCAGCTCTGGCCGTTGCAGCCATTTGGGGAGTGAGCCAGCGCATGGAAGACCTGTCTATTCCTCTAACTCTCCCATTCTATTAAAGCAAAGAAGATACAAACGGAACACAGCATAACGTGCATCACAGGGACTATGTAAGTGCTCAGCGACCATGCCGGTCCCCAGCTGCTGGTTAACTCCAGGAACTAATCATCAGGCAGAACCTAACACCTGCCCAACTACTTCTGCCCCAGGGTCGACCCGGGTCCCAGCCTCTCCCATTTCCAGATGTGGCCAATCATCTTTTCCAGAAAAAAAACAAGAGCCTTCCTTGCTCCACTGCACCCTCCTGACAAAAGCCGTAGACTGTCAGGTTCGAACCTGGCTTCCTTCAACCAGCAAGGGCTTTGCTCCTGAACTTCGTTCCTGGGGAGCATGGCTTTGCTAGGACATGGACTGCTGGGAGGCTGGGGCAAAATCGCCAAGGGCCTCCCTCTGCTCCTCTTCCCCGGAGGGGCTGAGGCTGGTTGGTTCACCTTCTCATGCCACCGGACTGTGACAGCGGCACAGCAGCCTGGGCACTCCCCAGCCAAAAAACATCATTCCACACTTCATCCAAACCAACACAGTGAGGGGCTGGCATCGTGGCACAGTGGGTTAAGCTGCTGCTTCTGACATCGCAGCCCATACTGGACTGCCAGTTCTGAGTCTCAGCTGCTCTGTTTCCACTCCAGCTCCCTGCTGATGCGCCTGGGGAAGCAGAGGAAGATGGCCGGAGTCCTTGGGGTCCTGGCTTCAGCCAGGCCTGGTTCTGGCCATTGTGGTCATTTGGAGTGAACCAGTGGATAGATCTCTTGTCATTCTGCCTTTCAAATAAATCAGTCTAAAAAGAAAACCAGGAGTCACAGCCTGAGCACGGTACCCTGCTCTAGGAGTGTCACTGCTGGCACTGAGCTGAGGACCAGAGAAAACCTCCACCTTCCTTCCTGTTACCTTCCTTCCTGTACCATGTTACAAGACTTCCTGAGCTCCCACCGCAGGGGCCCAGCACTCACTGCGCGCCCACACCTAGTGAGAAGCTCCTGGCATCCCCTGAAGGATGTCACCAGCAGTGGGCACCCTCACAAAGGACCCCTCAGGTACCCTCTGAAACAGAAGGCTGAGGGTAAGATTATCTGTCGGTGTGCAAAGCGTGGCTTGTGGCCCATCCTCGCCTCCCCTTCAAGCCCTCCTCACACTTGTGAAGGCTGTGAAGCAGAGCTTGCACTAGGTTTCACCAGGACACATTGTTGCACAATTCACCGTCTTCCTCGCAGCACCAGTTCAAGTGCAGACCCAGGGCAAAGAGTACCCAGGGACGGATCTAAGTGGTTCCCGGATTCCCAGTAGGTTCCAGGGCCTCGGGGTGGGCTGAGTGCCAGCCTGCTATTCTCGGCCCGCCACCTGCATGCAACTGCCCACGAACCCTGGACGAGTCACCTTTAGCTGCCACCCCCGTTTCTCTACAGCACCGCGCCCCATCTGTAGGACACACTCCCTTCCTCAGCGATGTCTTTCGTGGCATCCTTGAAACACACACACATTAAGACACCCAAAGCAACTTCAGCTTCTGATCCAACACCTCAAGTTCTAAAAAACTGGTCAAACTGGAAATATTCTAAGTTAGAATTTCTGGGTACAAGGAGCTGTTTTTTCTTGCTAAGGGCTAAAATCCACACATGCAAAAATAATAAAGATTTCCAAGGTAAATTTTACTATTTTATTTGTGAAAAAACTACAAGCAGAATTCATAAATAGACATTTCTATTTAAAGCAGGAAAATGATAAAGTGGCTTCTAATAACATGGTCGTGCACATGCCAGTAACAGGAATATATTAACATCTTTTATTTGCTAGACAAAGAGCAGTGTCCAATATAAATCTCCCCCAAACCTTTAAGACCTGTGAATTTCTGACCAGTTCACAAAACCACCAACTGACACTTTAGCATGAAGGAAAACCAAACCCAACAGACCGCCCGCTCTAAAGACGCTGCAGAGCAGAAACTTCCAGAAGCGCTATACAAGCTGTCTTTCTGGGCAAAGGAAAAATAGAGCTCGTATAATACATTGACAAAAATTCACAAGATAAGATTATGTTTTGACATACTTAACAAGCATTCTCTATTTGTCTCCAACAAACAAAGCTAAGGAAATAATGTAACCATCTTTACACAGTAAATTAAGGTTACAAGTCATACACAAGAACAGAACGGCTTGCGCATTAAAAACTGTTCAGCTCCATTGTCATACTCTAAATGTTGGCTCTTAAACCATTTCCGGTTACATACAAGCAAAGGTTATTATATACTCAGCAATTAATAAACTTTCAATAATTTAAGATATGGTAGCTTAAAAAAGTAGACTGAGAATGGTCTTGGTAAGGCAGGTGAAACGTCTTAGTGGAACTAAACTCACAGAAGCTTCGCCAATATTGTTTAAATAACCAGACTGAAACAGAAAGGTTCAGATTAACATATTTTGTGGGTGTCAAGATGTCTTTTTTTTTTTAAGCTGCATGACTAAACAGAGCAAGTCAGGTAAGCTATGTGTGTGCGCATGCACGCACAAACGTGACCGATCGTGTGGTAATAAAACAACTGGGGAACTGCAAGCGTTAACACTGTGCTTTTTGTTGTGTCTTGTAACCTGCTTTCTGTGCCACTGAATACCAAATATTTCTGGTCCTCTTTTAATATATCTCCTCATCATCTACACTAGTGTTTTTACGCACTGCCTACTAATTGTAGGGCAAACAGCAAATGCGAAGTCTACAGGAATTCCATTTCCAGAATGCATGCCTGAGGGATGTCATCAATCTCAGGAATCCCAAGTCCGAGGTCCCTACCCCTCGCGATGCCAACAGGACGCACAGCAGCAGCAGAGGGGTACTCCGCACTCTCACCTGAGTGCTTATGACACCAACCACTGGCTGCCGCTCCTACCACCTGTTCTAGAGCTACTCCTCTCCCTCCACCCCGCCCCATTCTTTAATTTATCACGGAGGCAAAACTGAAGAACCAAGACATTGGCAATGAATTAATTAGCAGCCTATGAGTAGCTGGTTAATCAGCTTTTTCCACTAATCTAGGGGGTCCAATCACTTTACATGAAACTAATTTTGAAAAAGTACACAGTATTTCTGAACAAAGTGCATACCAACACTTAATTGGTTCAAAAAGCAGTGCAACCCACATATGAGTTTGGTGGTATTTAAGTTTTTTTCTTTTAAAAAGTTAATTAAAAAACTTAGCAATCCCTTACACCTCTGGAAAATAAATATGGCTGACTAATTTACCCTCCCTGAGACCCTTAATAAAAGGACTATTAAAATTTTAGAAGGAATGTCTTTGCAATATCCCACTAATATTAAAATGTGGATTTAAAATTCATAGTCAAATTACTATGTATTATATATTCTGATGCTTATGGGAAGCATCTAATTTCCTTTGGTTCATTAATAAATACTTTAAAAATGTATTTAAAAAGATAAGCATAGCTTGCATCCCAGACACAAGCGTTACTTTTAAAAAGAAGGGAACATTGTCCATGCATTTGAGAGTAGGATCACAGCAACAAATGGCACTGCTTCGTTACCTAGACCTTCCAGAACAGAATCTAAAGTATGGAACATCAGTGACTGCACAATAGTTTTAATGTAAATGTGAAAGGAACCTTTCCTGTTGGCTACTCAATTCAAGCTGTTAATTTTTTTTTAACTTGTTGCCTCCAGACAGAAATTAATCCTGATTAATAGCAAACCAGGCTTTTCACACCAAAACATGGTGCTTCATTACATTACCTGCCCTCCCGTGAGCCCTTAAAGGTATGACCAAATAAAGGAAGGTGACATCAGTCCTCATGCTTGCAATGACTCGGAAGTACTACAAACTCCGTCGGTATGAATGCAAGTCAAAGAGAGACTCCAATCAAACAGAAGCGAAGCGAAAGAATTTGTTGTTTGAATGAGGAGAAGTGGAATCATCCTAGTGGTCTTTGATTTTTTCAAGACAGTAAAGAAAAAAAAAAAGAGTGAAAACCTTGAAAATTTTGCTCAAGCTATCTTTACGTCGAGGAAGAAAAAGATCACAGGCGCTCACAGTTCAGTGTGAGCTCTCCCGGCACCTCTGGCAGCCACAGCTCAAGCCATTCGCTACTTGAGTTCTTCCCACAGCAGGGAATTGAGAAATGTCTCTGAACACTGCAAAGCTCCACGTCAGGACCGGATGTGCGGTAGATAACCTTTGCTCCATAAAACCAACCACAGTAGGCTTCAAGAAAGACAGACAAAGCATTCTCACAACAGAACTGGGGAAGGTGAAAGTTTGAAAAGTGAGGGGACATGGAGGCACACACATTTCAATCAGAGCAACTGCCACTGCAATGTCATGTGCAGAGTGGGAACAAGGGGCTGCTTCCTATGGACCAAAAACACAGCTCAGACGCTTTCAATCCTAAAACTAAGAGACAATTTCTAGGTTTACCTTCAGACATGAGTAGAGGTCTGGAAAACGGATGGAATTCGAGTTACAGAATACCATATTTTCATGAGTGCTAATGTAAGACAGCAATGTTAACATGTAACCGTAATGTACACGAATACTTGGCATTCTGGAGCTAGTTTAGTTACTTTTGAGTGATCAAAGCCCTCCCCAACTAAACCACTTGTGATTTGTCAGTTATTCCATCGCAAATGCAGGCTATCTGGAGCAGTCTTTAAATTTGAGATCACATTGTTTGAAAAAATATATATTTTTATATCATCCAGTACTCTTTAGACAGATGAGAGTCCAGTTCCCACATGGGTTGGAACACACTTCATGTAAGACTGACTTTAATTTAATTTCAGCACTTTCTGTGACTGTTCAATGCTGTATTCACTTCACAGTGTATCAAGCACCAGCGCTGCCATGGATTGGTTTCAAATAACCCTTTAGATATAATTTTATATTTATATATATATAGTTATATCAAAACTGATAGTACATAGTATAACTTGAAGAAAGAACTAAACTTAAAAGGATATGCTGAAAGGATGGAGTTTGTGAACACAATAAATAAAAGTTCCCTCCCCCTCCCAACCCTCCCTCCAACAAAACAAAAACAAAAAACCAGTTGTAATGTACATGGAAAATTGTGCACAGCAGATTTTTTTTTTATAAAAAGTAGATTCAGGAGCACATCCAATTATAAATGATTGTTAGGAAAATCATATAAAACAATGGAATACATAAAAGTGTCAAGAGTAATCGTCAGGGTGCGAAATTCCTTGGTGGCCAGATGCCCATGGCAAGCAGAAATTATCCTGGCAGCATCACTAAGAGGTCGATGTCCACAGATGATTCTCCAGGGGTGCAAGCAGCATGGGCAGGTGGAGGATTTGAATTTCATACCCTGATTCATAGTTTTCACAACTCCATGTGCAACTTCAGAAAGATTCATCATTTACTGCCGACATATCGCCCTTTGGCGTGGAAGAACGGGAGGAGCCCTTGTCTGTGCTCTCTGAGCCCGAGCTGCTCTGGTTCTGCTGTTCTGACCCTGCACTGGAGGTCACTGTGGATGAGGATGTCGAGGAGGAGCGAGTCTTTTCCTTAAAGTCTGTGATAATGACGGTGACATTGCCCACAGTCACTGCCAACTGCTGCGCCGTGCTCCTGTCCACGTTTTTCAGCCGGGGCCTGAAAGCAACACCATGAAAGAACAGTCAATTAAGTAAGTCATGCTGGCAAAACACCAGCAACACACCTACAGTCATCACGACACCACGGCAGTGAATCCAAACTTCCTAACAACCATGACAAAGCTGGCTGCGGAGTGTGCGCGTCAACTCTGGCAATCACGGAAATGACTGCTGGGCTCGCAGCACTTCGGATCCACTGCAAAATTCTTATTAATTTACCCCTCTCTTACTTGCACCACCCTCACAGAGAAGTAGTTTAAAGTAATAAAGAGGTCAACAAACACCTTGCCCCTCCGCCCGTATCTCTTAGCCTAGAGATCCACAAATACAAAACCACCCTGCAGTTCCGGATGACGACAAATCCACCAGAACCACAACTTCTTCTATTAAAGTACCTTGAGGTGTGATTCGTTTCACTGGTCTTTGTTGTCGCGTTTGCCGACTGTATACTGTTTGCTTCACTAGGAGGGTCTTTCAGAATGTCAGACTTTGGTCTGAAAGAGAGGATACAAAAAAGCAGCATTTAGAAGATACTTGTGGTTCACCTGCCAAGTAATATACTGTACTTTGCTACCCAGGGACTTACTTTGTTTTCTTATTGGTGTTTTTCTTGGTAACACTAGGACTGATTTCCTTGTCTTTCTCAGGTTTCTCTTTGTCTGGCTTTTCCACTTTCTCCTTCTTCTCCTTTTTAGGGGGCGGCGGGGTGGCATACTGTTGTGCCACTTGCTGTGCCACCAGCTGAGAATTGATTCGAGGTTTCCTAAAATAACCAAGAAAAGATGTATCATTATTTGCTTTATAAATAGTATCATTATTTGCTTTTAAGTATTTCTTTGAATTTTTTGTTTGATCTCCTAACTTCTGAGGTATTTCATGATTGATAGCCAGCAACAGAAAATGCATTATATGGTTTTATTTCTACATTATTATTTTGAGACAGTATGGTTTCTTTTTCAACGGAAATGAAACACTGACGTGTGCTAACACAAACACATGTAGCCCCATACGGTAAAATAGTCTTTTGGCCAATAAGCATGACAGTGTTTCTAACAGTGCTGAGAACACTACTTCTTTTGAGCTGTCAAGATAATACTGACTGACAGCTTTCAAATAACTCTGTTGTAGAGGGTTAATCTCATTTTATTAAATGAACACTGATAATCCCCTGAAAAGAGAATGAAATCAGAAGTGTGACATTCACTCCTCAATCTAATTATTCTGACTTGGTCTGCTCTCCTGCAGCTCTGTGATTGGCATAGATAACACATCCAGAGCAATAAAAGGTAACACTGGTTCACACCAGCTCCCAAAGGGCCGTGAAGGTTCAAAGTCACCATGAAGAACTCTCAAGACAAACGACACATTCACTGTGGCATCAACCATCATATCGTGCCAATCTCCAACTGACACTGGCTCTCAGCACTATTGTTCACAAATGCTAAGTGGTGCCAAACACTATTCACAGGGCCTAGCCATTCATACACCCAAAAGAGAAAAGGAGAAAAGAATACCTATGGATTCTTTCTATATACTATAGCCCTCTCCCCTACCCCCACTAGTGGATGCCTGAAAACCCAGAATGAAAGCCTATGTATGTGTGTGTGTGTGTGTGTGTGTATAAACACTATTGTTCTGACTGTTGATCTGAGAGATGGCTACTAAGTGACCAACAGCTGAGAAGCAGATACAGCGTGGACACACAGGACAAAGAGGCAATCAGTGTCCTGGTCAGGGTGGCACGGGAGGACCTGGCACTTCATTGTGATACTTAGTACAGTGCACAATTGAAAAGGGAGTCTTAGATTGGAGGGGAGGGGCTACTGTAATGTTAGTTTTCAAAGACATTCCCATCTATACAGACATCTCTACTGATACTTCCCAAACACAAAACCCAAGTGAGTCCTTAACAAGGCGAAACAACCGTCTGCCACAACTTAATGGTCACCTTCAGATCCTACAGCTCTCTCCACCCCCAGAGGAAAATAATGCAGAGCAGCAGATCTAGCTCAGGCATGGCGGGGAGTCTGTGTTGAAGGATTAGGAAACACCCATCTAGGAAAACAGAGTAAGGTTGCCTTTTTACAGTTCTGCTGTTCTAGGTACATGGCATGATTCCCTGGGTGAAGCAGGGTTACTCCTGGAGCATCTCTTGGAAGGGAGTCTAAGGTGGCTGGCAACAGACACATGCTTACTCCACAACTGCATTAAGGTTGACCTATGTGCTGGCTGGGTGGCAGCACAGATTGCAAGGATACATATCTGATGTTAAGTGCAATCTCAGAGCAAACTTCCTATCAGCCTCCAACAACACAGGCCTTGGTCGTAGGTTAGCACACCATGAAACCACTAGCCTCAAAGCACACTTCTGCCAAGAACCCAAGTGGCCTCACTCACCACTGAGCAAGAGACTCAAACACATAGGAAGTAGAAACATCCTTCCTCTGAGCCCCTGCCCCTCAAACACAGGGAGGACGCTTGTATGTAACAGGTAAGTTTCCCTCTGCAGTCTCTTATATGGATGACAAGAAAAGTCTTCTAATACTTCTAAGCACTCAGGAGAGACACAACACATCAGCTAAGGGGCTAACCAAGCCAGGTGAATTAGAGTGAAGGTGCCATACACTTATCAACACTCAGGGCTTCAAATAAAATGAAATGGGTTAATAATATGAATAAACCATTCAAACTTTTGAAAAGCTACACTCTGAGGGAGAATTTCAATTGGGCCAGTATGTGTACTGTACTCCAGAGCAGTATGACTCAAGAACAAGAGAAGGTACCTGGATTTCAATTTAAGAGGACCCTAAAAAGAGGGAGACTCAAAGCTAAGTCAGATGCCTGGCCCCAGAGAACCCGCAGCTTAATTAGCACTCATGCTGAGTCTGAAAGCTGTGTCTCACTTCAGGATACCTATGATGCTCTAGGATGTCACTTACCACATGGCCCCATAACTGCCAATCAGCCACATATTCCTCAATGGTAAAGATCTCATTCTTCCCACCTCTGTCACCAAGTTTAGCCAGCTCAGGGCCAGGTCAATAAAAGTCTTCCATCCGGTGGTTCACTCCCTAAATGGCCACGATGGCCAGAGCTGGGCTGATCTGAAGCCAGAAGCCTGGAATTTCTTCCAGTTCTCCTGCAAGGGTGCAGGGGCCCAAGTTCCTGGCCACCTTCTACTGCTTTCCCAGGCCATAGCAGAGAGCTAGCTTGTAAGAGGAGCAGCTAGTGCCCATATGGGATGCCGGTGCCACAGGCAGAGGATTAACCTGCTGTGCCACAGTGCCAGGCCCTCCAGGGAAGATTTCTAAAGCAAAGAGGTCTTGAATCATGCAGTACACTGAAGGAGGGAGGACTGGGCGCAAGCAAGAGAAAGGGGCAAAGGACAGAGAACCATCCAGAAAAACCCTGAGGAAAGGAACAGAAGCACTTTCTACTGAGGCAAGAGAGGAATGCTAAGTAAACTGTCTTTCTAGTTAAACAGGTCAATTCTGGGACCCGTGCTGTGGAGCAGCAGTTAAGCCATGGCCTACAGAGCCGGCATCAAGTCCCAGCTGCTGCATTTTCGTTCCAGCTCCCTAATACGCCTGGGAAAGCAGCAGAAGATGGCCCAAGTGTTTGGGCCCCTGCACCCACATAGAAGACCTGGTTGAAACTCCTGGTTCTGTTCTGGCCCAGTCCCGGCTGCTGCAACCATTTGGGGAATAAACCAGCAGATGGAAGTCTCTCTGTGACTCTGTTTTTCAAATAAACAAACAAGTAAACAAATAAATTTAATAATAAAAAAAAAGTCAACTTGGGGAGGCTGTCTCAGTTGGATACTACAGGGCTTGGGGTGGGGAGCGAACCTGGAAATGAGAAATCAAAGAGATTATAAAACTTGAAGACTGGATGTGTGTAAAACTGTAGTAGGAAAGAGAGTTAGCGATGAACAGACAAAAAAGGAAGTTACTAATACCTCATGAATTACTCTCAATGGCATGAATGTGGCATGTTTACAAGAAGTAGTTTTTGGCTACCCAGGAAGTATGTTTATGCAGAACGGATCGTTCCCTTAAAGTTAGCTGCCAAGGCTACTGTTTGCAACAGTATACTGGTACACAGAAGTAAGGTGTTCATCTAAATGCTTCTGCTGCTGGCAAATCCACCCTTGGAATTCTTCAGTGCCTGCAACACAGCACAGTATCTGTAGGACAAAGTCTACATGAACAATAAGCTCAACTCCAGTTCTAATTCCGGACTGCTGTGTTTGAGCACAAATACACACTTTCTCACTGGCTCCTAAAAAAATGTTTGACTTAAAGTGGTGAAATTAACATTCCTCCCTTTTACACAACAAAAGGCAATTTCACAAGAGAAAAGGGCCCAAGGCTATTTGGGATTCGATTACTACCCAGAGAAAGAGGAACATCTGCTAAACCACCTGTGTCACCTGAAAGGTACTGCTGTGTTCCACATGCTGCACTACACACACCCTGTTCCCCAGTGACAACCCAACTCTGAAGCCATCATTTGTCCCTTCCTCAGCAAAACCTTTTCTTCAGCAACAGGATTTATTAATCAGTAGTCATTTTTCACTACTAGTTCTTCAGCAAGTGCAACATTACTTCCAGGTTTGGGAGGAGGGGTGAGGTGAGGAAATTCACCTTTGGAAGGGGAAGGGAAGGGAAACCGAAGGACCACCAGTGTGCCCTCCCTCATAAAGGTGCCATCCTCTCCAACTGCTCCAGCAGCTCGTGCCACCTGCCTCTCAGCAATGCTCTCCTGACTGCTTGTGGGAGAACAGGGACTGTCCAGTGACCACAGTGGAGGCTGCACCAGGTTCTCCAGACTGCCTATTACAGATTGGACCTGCAGCATAAAAGGCAGGGTCATTCTGTAGCCATCATGGCACAGGCACATCAGGAAGCTAGACTCAGAGCAACAGCCCCTCCAGGAGTAACTGCCATCTCCACTTTGCAAATTAAGACAACTGAGGAGCAGAGATGGAGAAACTTGTCCAAGGTTTACAGTTAAGTGGCTGAACCGAGATCTGAACCTGGCTCCATTTGGACTCTCCTACAAAGGTATCCTCAAACTAGTCTCCCCGCTTTGAAGAGCTCTGACTTGTTTTTTCCTGTTCGTGAGTGGGGGTGGGAGACTGTGATGTGACTTGGCACAGGATACCAGGGATGAGATCTCAGGTCAACTCAGATTCCAGTTTAGCCAGGGATCTCCCCAAGAATCCACTGCCTTTATTAGCATCACTATGCTTTGCTTTATCAAGAATAGGACTACTTGGTAGTCCTGTGGCAGACAAAAAGGGCAGAGGAGCTGGAAAACCTGCTCTCTTTGTTTTCACTGTCCTTGGAATACCACGGGTAAGGAATGAACCCTTACCTTTACATTTAACACAGTTCATCAGTGAGAAATAGTGACCTTCCACAAATTTTCACTGTCAATGATATCATCTAAGTATCATATAACATAGTGTACACAGCTCTTGGTCAATGGGCAGAACTTTCAACAAGTGGTAGAAACTCAATCCCTCAAAATGGAGCTGAACATCTCAATCTCCAGGATCATCCCAAGTTTCCCACCTAATAAACCTTAAAAAGAAGCAATTAACAGTCTTCACCATATGCTGGACATATTAGATCAAAACATGTCCACTTGAGCTTCTGACATCTAAGCTTCAATTTGAAACCAACACCCCCCCCCCCACACACCTCCACAAAGGAAAACTACTTACCAGATATACAAGAGAGTAAACAGTGCTGTCTC